CAGGTTCCCCATCTCTTCTCGCTCCAAGGCGATTGTATCGTTCGGGAGACAGGAAGTGGCAGGTGGTGCTTTTGGAGGGCTCTGATGGAGCGGGAAGACTGTTCTTAAAGGGCGGCCCATGGCTTCGGTCTTCGGGGTCTAACTGGCCAGTGGGATTTCATGAGGATATCCAGAGACTGGCATTTCTGTCTCGTGAGGTCATCTTAAAGACTTTCTCAGACATCCTGCCTGTGACTGTCCAAGGCTTCAGTTGGCTCCTGATGGGTTTATTATACAAAGGCTCCCTCTTGAGAGAAGACTTCTGGGCAGGTCCATTTAATTATTCATGGAATCAACACATCTTGATTGCAGACCTTCAGTATTGCCTGGTGCAAACCTGAAAGCCAAGGAGAGGCTGTGGCCCCTGTCTGCATCCATTTATGATGTGGCCAGTTGTAAAGAACAGAGCTACGAACTTAAACAGTTTTCTCCTCCTCCCCCTCCTCCTCCCCCTCCCCCTCCCCCCTCCTTCTTTGTCTTTGTCGTCTTGTCTTCCTTTTCCTCCTCTTCCTCCTCCTCTTTTTCAGTACTGAGGTTTGAACTCAGGGCTCTGTGCTTGCTAGGGGCTGAGTTGAGCCACACCCTCAACCCTTTTGCTGCTTTGCAGGTAAGGTCCACATGTTTTTGTGTCCAGGACAACCTCTGACCTTGATGATCTTATTTATAATCTCTGGTGGAGCTGGGATTACAGATGTGAGCCACCCTCACTTTACTTGCTCTTAGTTGACTTTTTAATACATCATTCATTTTGAAAGTCACACAGATGGACAATGCACTTGCTTTGCTGGATATGATCAAAGCCTCTAGCTGAAGCTACTTCATGGGTTAAACTCTGTTCTCCAGCCAACATTATCAAATCCTGCCCTCCGGGGCAAGTTGCTTTCTTCTATCTCCTGTCCAGTCCTCCAGGAAAAGTAGCCTTTCGCTATCTTTTCCTCACAAGAGAGCTGTTCTCTGTAGAAAGGCTCCTTTGTCTCCTGAGAGCTCACACAGAATGAACACTTCCTGGGAAAGAGAGTGAAGAAGAGTCCTTGGACTTTCTAATCCGTAACTTTTGCGCAGACGGTATGGAATCCATTATCTCTGGCCACCTTCCAGAGGCCAGTGTATCACAAAAACAGGCCACCAGCTGGGCACCGGTGGCTCACGCCTGTCATCCTAACTACTCAGGAGGCTGAGATCTGAGGGTCGTGGCTCAAAGCCAGCCCAGGCAGGGAAAGTCCATGAGATTCTTCCACCAGAAAAACTGGAAGTGGAGCTGTGGCTCAAGTGGTAGAGCACTCGCTTTGAGCTGAAGAGCTAAGGGACAGTGCTCAGCCCCAGAGTTCAAGCCCCATGACCGGCCAAGGGAAACAAAAAAGGCAAAGAAAAAGAAAAGCAGGCCACCTGGAATGGTTGACTGGTGCTCACCTCCCTCCCCTGCCCCTCCCTTCCCCAGCTCTTGTGTGGTGTGCTGCACTGCAGCAGAACACAGACCTTTTACAGAAAGAGTCTTCCTGCCAAAGGACATAGCCATTGCAAAAGCTAGAGATGAAAACAAGGACTAATGTACCCTGAATAGATCACCTAAGTCTGTGAGACTCTTATCTCCAATTAAGCTCCAAAAAGCTGGAAGTGGAGCTGTGGCTCAAGTTGTAGAAGAAAAACATTCAGGGACAACACATAGGCCTGAGTTTAAATCCCAGGACCAGCAGGCTCACACACACACACACACACACACACACACACACACACACACACATTAGATATTGCAGGTAACAGCTCTATCACAGGGCACAATCCTAACCCCAAGTTCATTGCCATCACTCAAAAAGGCCAATGGCTCAAAGACATGTTGTTGGGGCAAAGAAAAAGATTTTTTTTATTTTTTGTCGGTCATGGGGCTTGAACTCTGGGCCTGAGTGCTGTCCCTCAGCTCTTCAGCTCAAGGCTAGCGCTCTACCACTTGAGCTACAGCGCCACTAAAGAAAGAGATTTATGTGGAAAGCTATCAAACAAAAGAAGATGGAGACTGGCACCAAGCAAGGCCATCTTTCTTAGTGTTGTGTAGGGAGCTGGGGAGGAATAGGAGGGAGATGGGCACAAAGTCCAGGGGGTCTGACACTTTGCTATTGTTTTCTGGAAGTCACCAGAGGCCACAGAAAAGTTATGGACTAGAAATTCTTGAGGGCTGTCTGGGCTGGCTTTGAGCCATGACCCTCAGATCTCAGCCTCCTGAGTAGCCAGGATGACAGACGTGAGCCACCAGCACCCGGCTGGTGGTCTGCTTTTGTGATACACTGGTCTCTGGATTCCATACTGTCTGCGCAAAAGTTACGGATTAGAAAGTCCAAGGACTCTTCTTCACTCTCTTTCCCAGGAAGTGTTCATTCTGTGTGAGCTCTCAGGAGACAAAGGAGCCTTTCTACAGAGAACAGCTCTCTTGTGAGGAAAAGATAGCGAAAGGCTACTTTTCCTGGAGGACTGGACAGGAGATAGAAGAAAGCAACTTGCCCCGGAGGGCAGGATTTGATAATGTTGGCTGGAGAACAGAGTTTAACCCATGAAGTGGCTTCAGCTAGGGGCTTTGATTATGGCCAGTAAAGCAAATGTGTGTGTGTGTGTGTGTGTGTGTGTGTGTGTGTGTGTACTAATACTGTGTTGCCTATCTGTATGACTTCCAAAATTAGTCTTAAAAATCATTTAGGGATTGGAGGCATGGATTAGGTGGTAGAGAGCCAGCCATTGAGCAAAAGCATTAGAATGAGTTAGAGCCCTATTCTTGGAACACACACACACACACACACACAGAGCTGGTAGAGAATTTTTTTTTTTGGTTGGTCGTGGGGCTTGAACTCTGGGCCTGGGCGCTGTCCCTCAGCTCTTCAGCTCAAGGCTAGCGCTCTACCACTTTGAGCCACAGTGCCACTTCTGGTTTTCTGGTGGTTAATTGGAGATAAGAGTCTCACAGACTTTCCTGCCTGGTCTGGCTTTGAACAGCGATCCTCAGATCTCAGCCTCCTGAGTAGCTAGGATGACAGGCGTGAGCCAGTGCTCGGGTCAGACTTCTTTTATTTCTTGTAATAAATGTGGTGACATTGCTGGTCTTGAAGACAATAATGACGAATGAAGGTGAAGATGGTGTTGGCATGGAAATATAGAACAGAAGGAAGAATTCTTCCTATCTGCCTATTACCATGTCCTTCAATGCTACCGACTCAATTAAAAAAAAAAATCTCTTCACATCTTCCCCACCCTAGGGCTGGGCACCAGGGTCTGTCCTTCCTTCTTCTATGATGGTTCCAGCCTGCTGACCTTATTGCTGCCCACCCTGCATCCTTACATTTCTCACTACACGTTGAAGTCACCAAGAAGGGCCAGTGGTGTTTGGACGTGGCCATTAGAAACGCTGGCTTCCCCACGGAAATCCTGGTGGTGGTTCCACCTCCAATCTGGAGTCTCAGGGGTCTGCACGCCTGTGTGGCGGCCCCTCTCTCAGCCTGCGTGCATCCATCCCCTCCTAGTGTTCATGTGGTTCAGTGTGTACTGCAGGGATGATCAGCGGCGGGGACCAGGCCTGCTCATCCTTAAGATGGTGTGCGTCAGCCGGGCCCTGGTGGCTCACGCCTGTCATCCTAGCTACTCAGGAGGCTGAGATCTGAGGATGGTGTTCAAAGCCAGCCCTGGCAGGAAAATACGTGAGGTTTGACCTCTCCACCATAAGGGCAGTCTCAAGGAGATTTTGGTAATGGCAGCCTCCCCGTGCGCCCCCCCCCCCATTAGCTATCCCTCAGATCCCAAACAAGCATTGAGTAGTTACTCTGGGTGTCTTGTCTTTAAAACACCCGAGAGCCTGTGCTGCACCCTTGGGAAGACAAGGATTGGGTTTGGGCTGTTCCTGCCTATAGTTCTTAACAAGGACCCCTGTGCCAGGCAGGCCTGCCAGTAGAAGGCCGAAGGAGGGTTTCTTGAAGGAAGGAAAGGTTTTATGCTGGTGAAGAACATGGTGGAATTGATAAGGATATTGGTGATGATAATGAAGGGTCACGATACTGCTGGTGGTGGTAATGGTAGTATGAGGGTAGAAGTTTTGGTGATGATGGTGGAGATGATGATGGTGATGACAGTGATTATAGTGGTGATGATGATGGTGGTGGCGGTGGCGGTGATGGCGATTATGTTGATGATGAACTAGGATGGTAAGATCAGCTTGCCCCATGGCTTTACAGAACTTTGGTGAAATCGAAGCCGCCGCTTCCCTCTATAGCCAACCCAGACGAACGGCTTGCGGGTGGACTGTGAAATGGGGAAGGCTGCGAGCTGGGAGCCATTGAAGGGCCGGCGGATCAACGAAGACGCCCGCCGGAAGTACAGAGCTGCAGGTGCAGGGCTGGCGGGGTTGGGGGGTGTGGGGGTGTGGGTGTGGGTGGGGGTGTGGGTGTGGGTGTGGGGTTCCGGGATCTGGAGCACAGAGCTGGGCAAGGCGTGGGCGTGGCCTAGCTGAGCTAGGGGGCGGGGCCAGGTGCGGGTGGACTCGAGTGGGTGGAGCCATGGACCCTGATGGGCGGGGCCAGGGCTTTGGTGGGTAAGGCCAGGAACAAAAGCGTGTGGAACCCTGGGGCTGGTGGGCGGAGCTATGGGTTCTGGTGGGCGGTGCCAGGAACCTAGGAGTGTGGAGCCCTGGGGCTGGTGGGCGGAGCTATGGGCCTTGGTGGGCGAGGCCCGGGTCGAATGGGCGGGGCCCTGGCTCTGGTGGGCGGGGCCCGTCGGGGTGGGCGGGGCCAGGGCTGGGAGCAGGCTTGAAGGCGGCAGCGGTCGGCCGGCACAGGTGGTCGGCAGGTGGAGGCGGTGT